ATCCCAAAGGTCAACTTCACTGTGACATAATGTTCTGCATAAACCACTTTTTCTGGTCATTACTTGATGTCTTATGTCAGGAGCTGAAGGGGAGACATTTGGTCGGATACTAAATTGGTGAAACTAATCTTAGGTGTCCATCTAGTACGTGCTGATTTTATAGATCTTCTGTGTGTGACACATCCATGTTTTTACAGACATGGACCTAAACTGTAGGATTAACTTGACTGGTGCACAGAGGCATACAAACGCGGGGGTTAATTCTCATTTTTTGTGTAGATACAATTTTAACGTTTATAAAGTGGAGAACTGTAAGAAATGTATTGCGTTTGTAATGCAAACTAACAGGGAGGAGTATGTTTTCATATCTTATAGTTCTACATTTTAGAATGGGACATTAAATTAAAAAAAAGACATTAAATAATTCCTGTAAAATGTTCATAACATTTAATCCTTTGCATTCATTCCATTGTTTGTACAAAACTTGCAAATAATCTTAATGATTTTCCTGTACCTGATTTCAGTTGCATTTCCTCTCTTGTGTAAAGCACTGTCTCCTGATTTTTTAAAACATTTTTCTGAACAGTTTTGTAAAGTAATTTGATGGAGATGAACCGTGAGCTGAAGCTGAGGTTCAGAGGCGATAAGATGTGATACCCGCTGAGATGCAAAAACGTGTTTCTAGCTGCATCCTGATCCAAGTAGAAGGATGTGATTTGTGTGTGTGTGTGTGTGTGTGTGTGTGTGTGTGTAATGTAGAAACCTCATTAGCATAGCTGTTGGTATGGCATTGATCTCTTCATTCACCTCTAATGAAATGTCTCCCTAATAGCTTCTCATGAGATGCTGAAGGTAATTTAGGTCGCTTTAGTCCGCTCTCTTTCACTCTCGACAACATCTGGGACATTCGATTTTTTTATTTTTATTATATACATACATTTTATTTATTATTTTTGTTGGAACAGGTCAAAAAGGTGGTACTATTTTAATTTTTCATCACAGAGAAGAATTTAATCTACAATCTCACACTTTATTTTTTCACATTTAAAGGCTAAATAATTTACTTAAGGCAATGTCTTAAACAACATAACAGTTAATAATGACTCTGAGACCAGGAGTAACAAGATGAAAGCAGCAGAAGACTTTTATGACAAAATTAAACACATTTACACCATAAATTGATATAAGGCATCAATTCATGCACAAACAAATCAGCAAAATTTTCTTGCAGAGGACCCCAAATCCCTCATTTCACACGCCCCTGCCTGAGACTATTTAATTTAGTATCATAATACAATTGTTTTTTTTACCTGATATGTATTTAATCCACTTTAAATTTAGGCCTTTTCCTGCAGGGAGATGCGGCGCAGTGATACACAAAGCAACAAGCAGCCTGATAATTGACTTGACCGGGTGAAGCCGCATCTCTTGATCACATCTCAGATTACAAACCAGCACTAAATCTATTGTGGGTCCGACCGTCCCTGACAGCCTGACGCACGGCTGCCAAACAGTCCCACCGGAACCACCTCTTTATTTATTTATTCAGCACCACATGTCCCATTGACACGACTGTTATCTGCGCTTCCATCGCGCGCGTCCACTCATCTCCATAAACTCTCCTTCTGCGTAATTGTCCGTCCAGATGTCCAAAAGTGTGCCGCACATTATCTCCGAGCGATTGAAACTGCGCAATAATTGAATAACAGCTGATTAGAGGGGATTAGGTTTGTGTGAGACGGGGAGAAAATGAGAGTATTTTCACTTCATTTCACATTTCAGCGGCTCTGAATCTGAGCTGCGGGTTTAAATACTGTGATAAATGAGTGTGAAGAGAAGCCGCGGGTGATTTCCCCTGACATCCCAACATGTCTTCTTATACTTTCACTCAGATTTATGCGCTCAAACACTGCGGAACTTCTCAGTGTGTGATATCAGAGCTCAAACAGACAGAAAGACATTTGAACCTCGGGAGGTAAATAAATCTGTTGTTGCGTCCTGCTCTGGCATCTCCGCCTGTGTGTTTCATATTTAATTGCCACCCTGGTGTGTCCTAAATACGCTGAACTGGGATATTGTATTCTTTATCATGTGACCCGTCAGAGAATAAAACAGGCTTAATAACCTATCAACAGATGCGCAGACTGCCGCCAAAGACAAAACGTTTGGTGCGCAAACCTAATTAGAATATGCAAATGATGGGTTATATGGGACGTTGGAGAGCTGCAGTCTGCTAACGGATCAATCAGTGTGTGTGTGTGTGTGTGTGTGTGTGTGTGTGTGTGTCCTAATAACAAGCTGATGTGATTAATTAACTAATAGAGAAATTGGCTAATGTGAGTTTGAGTGTTTCTTTTAATTTGACCAGTGAAAATTCTTTTTTGTTCTCATGCTCCTGATCCAGTATGACCTGCTCTAATGTGCAGGTTTATTGTGTTAATACATTTTGGCATTTTTATTAGAAAGTATCAGGGTGTCTGCAGGTCCTTACAATGTCTTAAATTAAATTAAATAAATATACAGCCTTAAATGTCATTAAATTATTTGGAATTTGTGAGGAATTAATTGCCACAAACATTTTACCGTATTTCATTCATCCATCTTTTAATTTCTTTTTGTCATGATAAATCCAGCTCTTGTACATGAATGTCCACATTTCTGATGTTACAAATCTTTAAACCCACTGAACCCCTTTACTTCATACTTAACCTGTTGGCAAAATGCAGGTTAACCTAACTCCCTTAACAACCATATTTCTACATAAAACCTGCACAGGACCCCGTATCCAGGGATGAAAACCAGAGGAGCTTGAGTGACATTTTGAGGCAAAAAAATTTATATTATATATACATATATATCAGATGCACTTTGCACCTTGGACATGGAAACATCAATAACACATATCCATTGATGAATTTAAGAATGTGGTGAAAGAGACGTGCTTGTTTTTCTTGAGAGGTCACTATGTTTGAATAGTTGTTGTTTTATTGTAGATTTTTTGTATTATTTGTTGCATTTTAAATGTGCTTTGATTAGCTGTCACCTTGAGATGTTAAATCTCAATGGAACTTCCTGGTTAAATAAAGGTTGAATAAATAGAATAAAAGTAAAGATGAAAGCTCTTTATGAGCGCTTTCTACAGCCAAAAGGATCCTTGTGAATTTTAAAAAAAATCCAGAGTTATTAATCACAAACCAAAAGACAACATACCAAACTGAAGTCTTTTCAACTGTACGCCCCTTTTTTTTTTGTTTTTGTTTTTATTTTAGGTAGCCTTGTGTAACGTCTCAGCCAAGTGAATACAGATGAAAAACAGCCTTTTGGCTGATTATGGCATTTTTATACCATGTGTATTTACTAATTTGCACTGTCCCTCCTTTAATTAACTAAACTGAAACTGAAATATGTGGGGCTGAAAAGGGCACAAGTGCACTTACACAGTTAAAATAAATAAGTCAAAATATTGTTCAGTAAGTATATTGTCATCCACATGTTTATGAATTTTGATATTTAAGATAAAAACCAGTAAACAAAGTCAGGACATAGTCATTTTTGGTTCAGGCTGTCCTGTAAAGTTGGTTCTCGCTCCTCGATATATCCGACTTACCTTTACACTTATCATCTTTGTCTTATTAAAGCATTATTTGTCCAAAATTCTGTCTTAAATTTGGTTTGAAAAAAATATCTTAAAAGTTAAGTTTAAATATCTAATACCAGTGGACACCCTGATTAGAAATATCCCATTTGAACGCTGAGTTATGAAGAAGATGCCAGTTTTACAGTGAGTGAGGTGTAATCAGATTACTCCTCTGTTAAATTGCATAATTATTTGGCTGCCTTTTGCTCTGCTGTTTCATAGATGCATTTTGGTGAATGATCAAACCTTACATTTTAAGGGTAGAAATGATAAAGAAGACCAGTCAAATTTGTTTTTTTAATGTTATATGCAATATCAAAATACCTTTGCATCTTTACCTAATACAAAATAGTAGATAACAGTGACTGAGATTATTGGAGTAACAAGATGAAGTAGCAGAGGACTTTCATTATGACAAAATTAAAGACATTTACACCATAAATTGATGTAAGGCATTAAATTGGTGCAAAAAATCACCAGAATGCAACAAATTAAGTCTTTGCGGAGGACCCCCCTAATGCATCTTTGTTTATGTCATTACATAAATATTATTATATAAATAAGATGATTTTAAGTAGGCCTTTTAATCTTATAGGACTGATAATAAACCTTAAAAGGCAAATGTGTTTTTCAATCAGTAGATTTAGTCAGAGATATGATTCTTTTTCTGATTTTATTTGTTTGGTATTCAGCATTTTTGGTCCATCATGCAGTTTCCTCTGTGCTGAATTCAAACAGTTGAGCCTGTGTTTGACAAACGTGTTGCACATTAAGCTGGTTTTCCTCGACTTGATGGATTTATCCGGCTGATTGGATCTGTGTGTGAGGAGCCGGTGACTCAGAGGAGCAGCCACAGAAACACCAACAGTTACAGTGAAAGTAAAAGCATTCAGATTTTCCTTATATGATGATTTTATTGAACTAATTTTAACTTTAAAACACACTCTCGTTAAGTCTTACTAAGTCACAAGCAAAAAAAAAAAAAACAATTTCAGCAAGAAAACAGCCAATAAAGATTTTGTATTTTAATTTTAATGCGCTCAATATGACATAAATACGAATTTGTGGTATTTAACAGAAGCTTTATTTCATGAGTTTGGGCCTGATTGTTCTGCAGCAGCTGTAAGAGACACTTTTTATTATTTGTCACAGACATCCTCAGCAATTTGCTGGCGAAAAGACAAATATGAGAGTTATTATGTCACATTTAATCACCATAAATTACATTATCCATTTTATAAAGCGTCGTGGGGCTCGAGCAAACTCCAGAGTGGAGTCTCCTCCTCTTGTGATTGGCTGCCGCCTGTTGCCTGTTGGATAAAAAGCGCAGCAGAGAGGAGGGCGCACAGATAAAGAGGGAACATCTCAGAGCTGATTGCATCAGGGACTCTGCTTTCTTGTTTTGGAGGGAGTGGAAAACAAAAAGTGGGACCTCACCGCCATGACAGGGAAGGAGGGAGTTGTTCTCTCAGACACTGAGAATAAACTGAAATCCGCCTCACACACCACCGTGAACCACGGGGGACCCCAGCAGCCGCCTCCAGGCTGGAAGATGGCCCCCGTGGTGCACCGGCGCACCGGCTTTGGGATCCAGGAGCTGCTCGGACTCAACAAGGAGCCGCCGGCGGTCCCGAGGCGGCCGCTGGAGGCTCTGCCGCACAGCGCGCACGTCCTGGCCGCCAGGTCGGCCCTCGGACACGGGGGGCTCGGGGTCGGGATGGGTTTGCTGGGACCGGAGGGAATACACTCGTTTTACAGCCAGCCTGCGTTTCTGGAGGTGCTGGCAGAGGCGCAAAATGTGCACCTGCAGCCGCTGCACAGGGCGGCGCACATGGACGCGCAGATGGATGCGCAGCACTCCGCCAGCTCCGGTGAGTGTGTGACAGCAAGTAGGCCTGCACTGTGTGGCAGGCTGTGTGTTTCTGATGCAGAGAGGAGAAGAGTGGTTTTATGTTTTATTTATTATGTATTTATTGTGAAGCTAAGAGTGAGGACAGCAGATATTACTGGAACAAAAAGGGAAAAAGCGAGGGCTCAAGAGCTCGCGCCTTGATTTAATGTTAATAATGGAGAGAGATTTAAAGTTAATTTCATGCTGTTGTTTTCAATATTGGAAAAAGATGTGTAGAGGTCTTGCTAAAATAATTTTTATAAACTTAATGCAGTCTATTTTAAAAGTATATTTCTATTTTATCTTCTGTCATTTGGGATGAATCCGCGCTGAAGACTCAATGTGCAGAAATAAACATTTTAGAGCCACGGATCAACATGGCTATTGTCTACAATCTTTAATGTATTATTCTGCTTTTATTATTATTATCATTATTAGTAATTGTTATTATTATTATTATTATTATTATTATTATTATTTTTATTATTATTTTTATTATTATTTTTATTGATTGCTGTTCCCTGTTGTTTCCTCGCAGATTCTGATGACATGAGTCTGTCCTCCGGTGATCAGAAGTTTTCTAAATCATCATTGAGTCAGAGCAAGAAACGAAAGAAAAGACGACACAGGTAAAAATAAAAGAAACGAATACAAGATAATCAAAAGATGTAGGCTATTTATTTAATTTATTTAACTGATGCTGTTCCGGTGTGGCGCATATGAGGTCTTTATTTAGTCATAGCAATGTAGGCTACCTGTCATCAGTTATTGAAATCTCCATACACACAAAAACATCTGTATTTAATTCCTATAGAAACATTTTTTTGTGTTTGATGCTCATAATATGGTACAGTATTTACTATATTAGCCTAAAAATCCTTATATAATCATCATCATTATTTCCTCTAGGCTCTTTTTAAAATAAATTGTTGCTATATATTTCTTAGAAAATAATAGGCTACTGAAATATAACGAATATGTTTTGGGGGAAAAAATCAGATGTATTGTGTATTTCTGATTTTTTTTTTCTCTGTCTCAGATAAATTGGGGGAAAAGAATAGGCTAGTAGTTGTCATGTCATTGTTTTTTTTTTCAATCAAACATGAGAAAATAAAGAAGAAAAATTTAAAACAAAGATTTACAAAATAATATGTGGCAAAAAAGAATAACCAGCAAACATGTCCTGTAAACAACATCAGTATTTCACGTCGTACTCTCCTCTTTTTAAATATTTAGCAATTAGCTTAATATTAAACAATAATTCATTATTTTCTTACAAGCTATTTCGAAAATGGTTAAAATAACAACTATTTCTCATTTTTACAAGATCTTAATTTGATTACAAATTCTGTGCAAGAAAAATGTGATGAATTTGTTTCTCTCTTTCAGCACATTTCAGTTGTAAATTATACAAAACTGAACAAATGTGAAAATATGGATATATGAATTTAGTCATGCTTGAGACCAGGAAGGAGGCACTCAACTTGATTTATTGATTATGAACATTAAAAAATAAAATCCAATAAAATAGAATATATTGTAGAGAACAAAAAAACAAAACAGAGACAAACAATAAATCATGAACAGACTTACAAAATGAAACATGAATTTACATTTCATGTCTGAAAAGGAGAAGAAGCAACATGCTTGTCTAGCTGTACCCCCCAACCCCAAACTGTATTAATCCATCATTAATCAAACTATTACATAAACACACTCATCACCATTGATCAGCCACATGTTTACACCACTGCACTTCTTTATACCTGAGAACCAATATTGTTAGCAAGTAAAACAGTATGAATTTATATTTTGTCTTCATTTTTACTCTATAATGAATGTTTTAGAAACTTTATAAATGTATAGTAGAATTTAGAGACAGACCAATGTGGACGGGGAAAGTCAGGGTTGAGGAATGGTCAAAATGTGCAGGTGTATATGTTATGTTATGTCTTATGTTATGTATTACATGAGGCACGATGTTATTAAGAGAAGATCCAACAGTTTTTGTTTAAATTTTTTGTCATTATGTTCAGTTTTGTTTATTTACCTGTCTGTCATCGCCCTTATATCTACATGTGCTGTGATACTGACAGCAGTTATTAGTTAATGTAAACCTGCAAGATGTGTTGAAAATATAATTATGCAAGAAAAAAATAATTTGTTTATGAAGAAATTAAAATTCTAAATTGGTTTTTATTCTCATATGTTCTCTTTATATTTTGCCCGCAGAACCATTTTCACGTCCTATCAGCTGGAGGAGCTGGAGAAGGCTTTTAATGAAGCTCACTATCCAGACGTATACGCCCGGGAAATGCTCTCCATGAAGACTGAGCTGCCAGAGGACAGAATACAGGTGTGTGTGAGCGAGTTAATGACTGTGCAATATGTGTGCTGACATATTAAATTTAAAAATCTTAATATGCTTTAATCATCTGTCTTTAAGGGAGAGTGATGAGACAAAAATAACCAGTTTTTAAAGAGTATAACAGTAAGAATGTAGATATTTTCTGCAGTAAAGCGTCTCACACACTCAAAGTGAAAATCATCTGCAGTCACAGAGTGCGCCACAAAATCAGTTAACAAAGGGATGAAGATTCTCCCACTAAAGGAAACATTCAGGTGGAGACACCAGTCGGCTGCTCCATCATCATCATCCTCCCGGTGCCTTCTGCTTTCACATCAGCAGCCAATTCGCCCTCTCAGTGTAATTAGTTAATTGAGGAGAACTTATCACCTCTTTGCCTGCGAGAGACGGGCCGCAGCCCTGAAATGAAATGATAACTACATAGAAATTAATTAGCACAGGTCAGCGGCTGAGCAGAGGGCTCTGCCCGGCTGCTAGGAGCATTTTAATTTCCCGTGATATTTGAGCGCCTGTCTCCCATCGATCGAGCCTGGAAATTAACTTATTTTTCAATCAGCCTCTTTGCCCCCGGGGTCACCTCTCTCAGGAAGCACTTCACACACACACACACACATGCACACACACACAGACACTGCCATGCACACTCACACCGTTGCTGTCAGAAAGCATGATTGCTCATCTGAGGCCCATCTTTTTATGAGATGGAGGTTATCATCAGATCTACCTGAATAGCTTTCCAGGCTCGGCTTTGATCGTTTTTAATTCCAGGTCTCTGCAACACACACACACACACACACACACACACACACACTACGATCTCATCCTGTCGCCTCGGCCATTTTAGGATGCTCATTTTTTCCTGTTTTCCTCATCCATATTCACCAGCTTGCTTGGGCCATTGCAGCCCGGCTTGGTGGAAATCAATTTAGACACTAAAGGAGCCAGAAGAGAATAATGCACGGGCACACACACACACACACATGCACACACACCTGATAGAGGACAATATATAGTATAAATGACGCAGTGAGGACAACATTTAAATATTTAACAGTGCCTTCAAGACTTGTGTTACAAATCTATTTTCTGAAATCAGTTTTCTTTACTAAAAACCTTTTTGTTTGTTTGTTTGTTTAATCCTCCAGCAGATGTCATTGTTCTGCTCATATTTATCTCCTGCTTTCATACTGAGGAGACTTTGGATTGTTACAGCATCACAAGACAAGGAAGTGAGCTGTGATCTTTATTTGGATAGTCCACCTATAGAGAGAGTATTTGTCACATTTCTACAGCTTATTAGTTGAGATTCAACCATTCAACTGTTTTGTTTAATCCTGTAGAGGTTTAACAGATTATCTGTATAGTTTATTTGACAACTCATGAACATACCTGCTGAGAATAATTTAGTTGAACTACTCACTCAGCCTATGTAGCAACTGAGTGCGTAGTTTTTTTCTTTTTATGTTTTACAAAAAATAAATAAAGCAGACTAAACCAAAGACAACGGAGAGGGACATCATAGGTGAAGGTGAAATGCTTAAAATTAAATAAAAGTAGAAGACTGCAAGGTTACATTGTAGTATCAAGGATAATATTGTCCTTTTAAGATCACAAAGGTCCTCATGATTTGTGACTTTGATTCATATAAAGCCAGTGTATTTTTAAGGAGGTAGAAATCTTCCACTCATTCATAAGCTATAGTTTATTTTGTATGTCTTAATACTGATGGGGATAAAACACAATTCACCAAACAAAATAAACATATAAATAAAAAAAATCACTTCAAAGTCAAATAAGATTTCCATTTTTTCCACAATATTTTTCACATTTTTAAGGGCATGTCTTGGAGAAAAAGTCAGTGTTGTTTAGCCTTATACAGTGTCTGTCCAACGTCACTAAGATCCTCGTGTTGTCACAAGAGTCAGACAAAGTATGTGTGTTACTTGGGATCATCAGCAAGGTCGACCTGTTATCTCTCAGACAGGCAGGAGCCTCTCAACATAAAACATGCTACATGTGAACACAGCTCAAACATCCAAGTGACGCAGTGATAAGCAAAACACATCTTTGACATGTTTTGGTCCAGTCAGGCAGGAAACCTAAGTGCATTGTTGTGATACAATCAGAATCTAATCCTCTTATCTGACCTCCATCTCTGCAGGTGTGGTTTCAGAACCGCAGGGCCAAGTGGAGGAAGAGGGAGAAGTGTTGGGGTCGCAGCAGCGTGATGGCAGAGTACGGCCTGTACGGAGCCATGGTCCGTCACTCCATCCCACTGCCCGAGTCCATCCTCAAGTCAGCCAAGGAGGGCGTCACAGAGTCCTACGCTCCGTGGTTACTAGGTAAGTAGTGTTTATTACATGTTGTTAAATTTTGTTTTCTATTAATTCTTCTGCACATAGTCACTGTTAGTCCATATTTTAGTTGCTAAAACTAGAAATCTTTACTCTCTTATAGGCTACTTGTAAAATTGAGATGTAAGAGTCTTGAAATCTTGAATCTTGTTGGTATAAACCAAAGTTTCCTATATTATATGTGTTTGGAAACATGGATTAAGATGTCTTCTAACAGGAAGTGGGAGTTTAGCCTGGCTCAATTTACGAGCCAATAAAAGTGTCAGCATGTCAATAAAAGGTCGATACACTGATAATCCTACTTAATCAGGACAGATTAGACTAGGTGTCCTCTCTCGCCTCTTGTCAATTGATTAGTTTAAATCAATTAGCTCAGTCTAATTGAATAAGAGGTTCAATCCACTAATCTATCCCCATCCTCTTTCACACTTTATTTCAATGTCAAACACCTCACTACGTACAAAATGTTGCGCTTGAGAGGAAATATTGGTGCAGTTTATTAGAGATATTTTATATTTGAAATCCCCAAATGCATCAATACGTCAAACTACACCAGGAAAAACTGAGGGTGCTTTCACACCTGCCCTGTTTGGTTCAGTTCAATCGAACTCAAATTCGTTTGCCCCCTAAGTGCGGTTTGTTTGGGCAGGTGTGAACACAGCAATCACACTCGTGTGCGCACCGAAACAACCGGACCAAGACCTTCTTGGGCGCCTCTTTTTCAAACTGTATGGTTTGACTAAAATGAACAATGACAGTAATATAGTCCACAATGACCAGCGCTAAAATCAACCTGTATAGTTGTCCCTCCATTGTGACATTAGAAAGTGTCACATTTATCTTGCAAGTGTACTCTTCTTCAACGTTTAGTTTACTTCCTGGATTTTTCCCACATGGAAATTCTGACCAATCAAGAGCAGCTTTCTCGTGCAAGGCATTTGATCTGGTCCTCTTGTAAATGCTGCCGTGAGAACACGAACCAACTCTAGGCAGTTATGCAACTTTGGAACAAAATTAGTCCCTGATTCGGATCAAAGGAGACGACTCTAGGTCTGAAAGCACCCTAAGACAAGGATATTTGCAAGACCCTCCTGCAGACTCTTAACTGACATGAATGTCCTCTCTCTTCAGGTATGCACAAGAAGTCAGTTGAAACCACACAAACCTCTCCTGGAAAACCCTGCAGCCTGACACCACCACCAATAACAACAATACAGGAGAAACCAGCGGTCAAAATGATGGAGGAAGAGACGGAGAAACAGATGAAAGACACTGCTAAAGCACCCATTTCTAAAGAGGAACTGAGGGAGAACAGTATTGCTGCACTGCGAGCAAAAGCACAGGAGCACAGCGCCAAGGTGCTTGGGACAGTTTCTGACAGAACAAATGGCCACGTAACACATAAAGAGGAAGCTGAGGACAAGGTGACGGAGCAGGAGATGGCAGAGGTGGAGAAGAGTGACTGAAAAAAAAGCTGCGGGATAAAGACTGATGGTGAAAATACCTGCAGAGAGATAGAGGTCCTGTTTTACTGGTGGAGTTGAACCTCGGTGCTTCAGACTGTTCAAACCTGCAGATCAAATGTTATAATCAGAGATAAATAAATTAGAAATTATTTGAGTTCATTTGTCGGATAACTTCTACTCTGATTGAGGTTTTTTTTTTTTTAACCCAACCAATAACATAATTTTTTCCTCTGCTGAATCACACAAATGTTCTCCTCACATTTACCGCAGACCTTTTGATCTGCAGCTGCATTAAAAAATATATTTATTTTCTTTAAAATAAATTGTGAACCGTACAGTTCTGTGACATGGCAGCTACTTTTATGCAACAGTTTGGATTAAAATGTCTTCAGAAGCCTCATTTCAACAAGCATCTTAAAAAAGAAATTGACTATACCTGCTCCAGACATGATGATAAGGAGATGACTGTGACCTCTGACCTCCCTGTGATGACTGATTTCAGTTTGGTGACTGAAAAGCACACAGCTGGTGTTAGTTCCTGTGAAAAGATTAATACAAGATTCAATCTTTGTTTTCTTTCAGCAGTTGCAACATGTGTGATGTACATACTGAACATATTGTCCAATAGTTAATGCTGTATTGTTGTGTACAGTTAATTATCTGTGTTTGTCTCTGTATAAATGTAACTGTAGCCTAATTAAAAGTTACGGATATTTAAAGTCCCTCTTTGCTCAAAAATGTGTTTTGCTTAATGTCACTGCACTTGATGTTTGAGTCTGACATGAGAACACTTTTTTCAGGCTATTTTATTCACAAAAACAGATAAAAGAAATAAAAGTACAATTCATCAAAGCTGCGAGCAGCAGTGAACAGACCCTCGCACCTCTGCGCAACTAAGGGGTGCTGGCAGCGCACCAGCTGATGCCGCTGTTCCTTTCTGTGAAAGTCAGACCTTGCATGCAGGAGGGAGATGGTTTGTCCTTTATAGAGTGTGGATGTTGGAATGACCAGTTTCACATTTTGCACCACTTCCTGTGTCCACTATGCGGTGCTGCAGAACACACTAATTACATGTCATGTTGTTGTGCATCAATTGTAGACCCCACTGTGTAAATTTCAAGTAAATCAAAAAATAAGTGTCTGAAAAGATGCAAAAAAAAAAAACAAAAACAAAAAAAGAAAACATTATTTACAAATTGTCATCATCAGAGTCAGAGTCTGAGCTGGGGTAATGATGGGGATCAGGAATGTGAAATGAGGCTGAATTTTGATCGGCATTGTTAACGTTCATAATATGTGTGAATTTGACCTGATTGTCAAATTTCGGGGTGAAACAGTACAGCTGAATGTTACACTTTGTCCTTCTGTCAGAGTGACAGTCTTGGCAGGTTTGTAGGTGTAGGTCTTTATCAGTATCGCATGATAGGGTCAGGATCAGGTGGTGCATGGTGTAGTCTGGTGGGAAAAGGTTTGCGTTGCTAGTCCTGCACGTCTAGTTGGTGTCCGATGAATTCTGTGTTATACATGGTTATTGCTGCCATGTGAAGCTCCTTCTGTGTTGTCTCTTCTTTTTTTCTTTATCTTAGGGTATTTGGTCATGGGCATGTATGGCGTGTCTGCGAAGTTCGGACAGGCGTGCATCATTCCAAACAATGCAGGCACTTGTAACAGCTGAGGCAATGTCCGGTTTTTAGTCCATTTAAGAAACAATTGCAGAGATGAATTTCCCACACATCTGGAGAATCGCTTGACTCATCAGGTAGTTGAAGGTCACTGTAGGTGTTGAATGAAGGATGAAATGGTGGGTTGCCGTTGAGATCTGGATCCAGCTTCAAAGCCGCCAACTGTGGAAACAAAGAAGAGGAGACCTGCGAGTCTGGTGTTCTTTGTGTGTGTGAATTTTGCTTTTCATTGGTTTCAACCTATTCACATTTAAAGCTTCTCCTTTCCACATCTGTAAACATTCTTTTTGACCTTCTATAATTTCAATTTTTCAGTTTTTCAAAATTTTTTTTTTTTTTCTCACAGAAACTTTCTTTTTCCTTCTCATTTCTTGTTCTTTGCCCTTCAGTTTTTCTTCTAATTCTGATATGTTTTTTTTTTAAACTGAGGGATCCCCCTATTGGGAAACCAAACTCAGCTGTCCAGACATTTAAATATTTTAGACTTTTATCCCCATATTTCCTTCTCATAATATCCACAATCGGCCCCACCGGAGGTCCAACCTCAACAGAATTTTTACTCCCCATTCCAAATGGAGGTCATGCACGACTATTACAATACAGACGTCTCTGTAAAGGGTCACTTCGTTTAAGGATACAAGTGATAAAGACCTGGTCACTTCGTTTTAAGGAAACAAATGATAAAGAACCTGATCACTTCGTTTTAAGGAAACAAATGATAAAGAACCTGATCACTTCGTTTAAGGAGACAAGTGATAAAGACCTGGTCACTTCGTTTAAGGAGACAAGTGATAAAGACCTGGTCACTTCGTTTTAAGGAAACAAGTGATAAAGACCTGGTCACTTCGTTTAAGGAGACAAGTGATAAAGACCTGGTCACTTCGTTTAAGGAGACAAGTGATAAAGACCTGGTCACTTCGTTTAAGGAGACAAGTGATAAAGACCTGGTCACTTCGTTTAAGGAGACAAGTGATAAAGACCTGGTTACTTCGTTTTAAGGAAACAAGTGATAAAGAACCTGATCACTTCGTTTTAAGGAGACAAGTGATAAAGACCTGGTCGCTTCGTTTATGCTACAAGCGATAAAAAGCAGAAGATCGATTGTGGATAACATGAGAAACGGAAATGTTATGCCAATTTTAAACCCAAATTTTAAAGAAAAGAAAACTTAAATGTCAATATTTCAGTGCTCACCAGATGAATTTAGCTGAATTGCGTTCTTGGAAATCCCAGCGGCAACGATCTGGGGCGTTTGTGGTCAGTCCTCCCTTCTCAGAAGAGGATTTGAGGTTGGAGGCTGGAAATCTTTTTCTTTCCAGGATGGCCTGTCACTGTCCGTGTCCCGTCCCAGACGATTGCTTGAGGAATCCCACTTCTGACACCAAATTGTTGTGGAAATTCTCTGCTGCTGGTGAATAATGAAATAGAGACTTCTGCCGGTCGACAAGGTTTTTATTTTCTTTGCAAAGAAAAGGTCAGTCATCACACGAGTGGTCAGAATGACGAAAGACCCCGAACATAGGAAAGCCTAAACATTTATACCTGAGGAACGCCTCTTATGGTGTGTTTCACACCCTTCTGTCTGCGGCAGGGAGCAGTGCCCCTACCCATTGTTTTCAAACTCTTTCGTCTGTCGCAGCTATTGGCTCTGACCCCCTAGGGTGTGTTTCACACCTGGCGTATCCTGCAGGATTTTGTATCTAGGTGTGAGGTTAAGAGGTCTAGACATTCTGAAGTATTTGAAAACACAAAGAATACAGAAAGAAAATGAAATTACAATTACATGTGCGATCTGAAAAAAGGCCTCTCCAAATCAAGCTCCCGGGCCGAATTTCAACCCCAGCCTGCCCCTGGAGTGGGTCCTTCTCACTGAACTCTGCCATGTTGTTTCTACAGTAGCCCAGAATGGACAAAACAAACACTGGCTCATGATAGAGCCACTCACATTTTCACGTTGGCTGCCGTAGTTCTCCTACACACTTGGCACATGGGAGGAGTATTAGTTGATTGCAATTTTCAGCCTCACCATTAGATGGCACTAAATCCTACACACTAGACCTTTAAATGGTAATCAAACTATTATGTGCAACAACACAAGAAAAAGTTATTATTCAAAGCTTTATATTTTTTATTTTGATTTACTTATATATGGGAGCAGTGGTGGAATATAATTAACTGCATTTACTCTATCTTTACCAGCAGCAGCATTGAAGTGATGAACACATTAATGCATCAGTTAATATAATCCAATACTGTGATATACATTATTCTGATAAGATAATGAGCTGTTCTTTTGGTACTGCAAGTATATACTGATGTTGATACTATAACACTGACTGTAAAATTTTGAATGCAGGACTTTTACTTGTACTTAGACACTGTGGTGTTGCTACTTTTACTTGAGTAGAATATCTGAGTACTTCGTCCACCACCACAGGAGAGGACTTAAAAGTAACATTGGCTGTGTTACAGTTAAAACTGACCTGATTCAGTTAGAAACTGTTTTTTTTTGTTTTTGTTTCTCTTTGTCTCTATCCCTCCTCCCTCGACCTTTTCTTTCCCACGCCCCTGCCCCTCTACCACACCCCTGACCCCACTCGCCAACTTAGAGAGTCAGGAATTCAAGAGGAGACGTGAAAAAAAGGAGAGCAAAAGGGGGGAAAGGGGATTAAGAGAAAGGGATAGTTGCAAAAAAACAGGACTATTTGATCTGATGAATGGACACACACACCTCCAACCTCATGAACAGCCCCCTTTCATTGGGTCTGGGGGTTGTTCTATATAGGAAAAGCAGCAGCATGTGGTGGCCTCCATCAGTCAGCCCCCTCTCCAGGGTCTGGGGGCAACTGAAGAAGGGGAAACCCCTGCAGTTTCATTTAACTTTTTATTTTTCATCCTGAGACCTGAATGTTTTTAATTTCTCCTAGCTATTTGGGATCAGTAGGACCTGATAAGTATAAAAAACTAAACAATATCAGCAATAATAAAGTCCCAATGTCCTCAAACAAGACAATAATAAAGTCCCAATGTCCTCAAACAAGACAACAATAAAGTCCCAATGTCCTCAAACAAGACAACAATAAATCCCAATGTCCTCAAACAAGACGATAATAAATCCCAATGTCCTCAAACAAGACGATAATAAAGTCCCAATGTCCTCAAACTAGATGATAATAAAGTCCCAATGTCCTCAAACAAGACAACAATAAATCCCACTGTCCTCAAACGAGATCACAACGAATTCTCAATCTCCTCAAACTAGACTGCAATAAAGTCCTAATGTCCTCAAATGAGACTACAATGAAGTCTCAATGTCCTTCCTAATTAACATTGTCTTAGCTTATTACTGTTGCTAAAATTGATCAAATGTGTTGCCATATCAAACTACAAACATTAATTTATCATAAATAAACAAGTTTTAACCATAAAATGTTTTTATATGGATTAGTGTATTGTGGTTATTACCACTAGGTGGCACAAAAAAGTGTCCACGAACAAGGACAACAGGTCTAAGTTAAGTAGAATAAAGTATAAGGTGCAGTAAACCTCATATGAGGACACAGGGTCTCATGGAGTATATTGAATTAAATTCAAAGAAGAAGACAGAGGCGTGGGGGTTATTTTTTTAAATATTATAATATTTATTTATTTGTTTATCTTCCTAAAAATTTTATTTTTATTCATATATTTATTTATCTTTTATTTTTTTGGCTCATTTTTTTCCTTACTTAAGTTTGCTTAATCTGTCTGCACCCGTGACTCATGCCCCCTTGTTTACAACACACACATACAAAGTAAAAACATAAACAATCAAAAAGACAAAACAACCAAACATTAACAGCCACACAAATACTGCAGAGTAGAGAAACCCCCCTTCATGCAGCACAAAAAGAAACTTTTCTTTTGCATCTTATGCTGAAGCTCAGCTGCAGCCTTCTGTGCTTTCCAAGACAAAAGACAAAAGAAAAGTGTCGGCACAAAGCTTTAGTACCGCCCTTTAACGCATCATTCCTCCAGTCCTTCCTCTGCGCACTTTCCAG